GCTAATGCCCCCCTTCGGAGCTGGGGGTAGGGTGCGCGCACACACCACGGCGCGTGGGTGACTCTGGCCGGCCGTGGTCCCACACGGACGAAATGCCGCTGGGGGCCAAAAGACATTGAAGGCCCCCGTCTCGTGGCCGGGCTCTCCAGTTAGATGAGAAGTACTGTGCAGTAGCCCTGTAGACCGAAGATGGCCGAAACCGTTGAAGCGGGCGTCGACTGACGTGATGCACTGACGGAGAGTCCGGACAAGACTTATGGTTCCATCCCCTTTCACCGAATTATCGATCTGACTCTCTCCACTCTTGGGAGGGGAAGAGGCCAAAAACGAAGACACCTGCAGCGCAGACTGGTTGAAACCCGCCTTCTGTCTGCTTATGTGGTACACTTGCCATTTCTGTTCCATTTAACCACTCACCGTCCAGCATTCTGCATTCAAGGCACCCTCTACAGACAATGAGCCTCTTAGGGCTGAGCACGGCAAATCATGACCGCAGCAGCTGCCTTATGACTGTTAGCATGACATCGAATAATGCCATGACGACAGAAGCAGGCAGATGAGGCTCAAAATTTCGATTTTGCAGAGACAGACTTCCCCGCCAGCACGCCGTGTCGTGAACGAGCCGCATTTGCCCATGAAATTGTCGGCTATAAAGGGACGCTCCGGAGCGAGGGAGATTGGAGATTGGGGCCCCTGGAAATAACCAGCAGTTACGAGACTGATATCAACGGAACGGAAAAAGCAAAGAAAAAAAATGAGCCGAATGTCCAACAGCGCCGAGACCCAGGAGACTATCTCCTGGTTTTCGGATGGCAAGCCCCTACGTGTCCAAGGAGACAATGGCCCTGAGCCGGTCAACGAAGCTGCCATGCATCGACGCATTAATCGGAAGATGGATATTTCTCTGCTTCCTCTTCTTTCCATTCTCTATCTTTTCAATGGCCTTGATAGAGGAAATGTGGGAAATGCACAAACCCAAGGTATGTTGAACCGAGTTTGCTGAGGCATTCCCTGAAATCGAGGCATTTTCTGGATCACTGACACTGCATTCCATTTTCAAGGCTTCACCACGGACATTGGAGCTGTTCCAGATGATCTGAACCTAGCGGTATCTCTGTTCTTCATTACTTTTGTTGTGTTTCAACCTCCTTCGGCAGCCATTGGTCGATGGCTTGGGGCGAAGCACTGGATACCCATTATGATGGTAGGTTACACAAGACCTCCACAACCCGAAAAACGCAGGTTTTGCTAACCTTGGCAACGACAGATCGGTTGGGGGTTCATCACCTTGGTCCAGGCCTTCATCAAAGGACGAGGTCAGTTATTTCGTGCGATTTTGTTGGAAATTGGCTAATTGCTGCGTAAACAGATGCACTCATTGCCACTCGCCTCCTGATCGGCGCCTTCGAAGCCGGTTTTTATCCCACTGCCGTCGCCTATCTGTCATTCTTCTACTGCAGATACGACCTCGCGGTTCGCGTCGGTCTTTTCTACGGACAATATGCCGTTGCGGGGGCTTTCTCTGGAGCAATTGGTACGTTGACAGAGTTGATTTCGTCGCTGTGCTGCACTTTCAAGATGCACTTCGAAGGCCTCTAAACGATCCGCCCTGGACGTCTGTTTGTCAAAGTGCCTCGGAAACGACCGAAACGTGCGGCCAATTTGTGGAAGTCGAGTTGTAAAGAGTCAACAGGTGCTAATGAATTCACAGCCTACGGCGTCTTCCATTTGCGCGACGGAATCTTGAAGAATTGGCAATACCTATTCATCATTGAGGGAACTCTTACCATCTTCTTTGGCCTTATAGCTTGGTTCTTCCTGCCATCGGGTCCTGGATCTGCTTGGTTCTTGACGCCGGACGAACAGCAGTTTGCAGCAGAACGGATGAGACAGGACAATGCACTCTTCGTCGAGCACACCTACAGCAAGAACGGCATCGAAAACGAACGCTTGAAGAAAAGAGACTTCCTCGAGACACTTCGAGACTGGAAGTTCTGGTACGTTTTGGTGTTCAACATCTGCGCCAGCGTGCCAGGACAAGCCTTTTCGGTGTTTCTTCCACTCGTGGTGCAGGGGCTTGGATATTCTTCCATACAGGCCAACTTGGTAGGTTTTGATGCATTAACTATGTGAAATTTGCTAACTGTTTAGATGTCCGTTCCACCGTATGTTTGCGGCGCTCTTGGCTTGTACTTGTTTGCCTTGAGCTCGGACTACCAGTGCGTCTTTCGCTTTTCCACTAGGTACTGCGGATTGTGTTGGCTAACATTCAAATAGCAAGGAACGTGGATATCATATTGTGGGAGGAATTGTGATTGCTCTCGTTGGACTGATCGCCACGGTCACCGTTGAGTCACACGCTGGGAAGTATGCAGCTCTTTGCGTACTCCTACTTGGCAGCTATGTCGCTGCGCCCCTGACTGTTGCTTGGTTGAGTGGAAACAACCCAGGTATGGATCTAAGCCTCGCACTGCATTGCAAACTTGCTAACCCTTTTGGTTGTACAGAGCCTGGGAAGAGAGCCATTGTCCTTGGCGCGAACGGGTTCGGAAACCTCGCCGGTGTGATTGGGGCGCAGCTCTACCGCGATCGCTACAAACCGAACTACAGACTTCCTTTCTATGTCACTTTGGGCTTCGTGGCAGCAGCCCTCGTCGGATATCTGTCGTACAGATTCATATTGGTACGGGTCAACCGGAGAAAGATTGAGATTCTGCGACAAAAGACTTCAGAAGACATTGAAAGGGAGCGAGTCGACAGTACGCGGTACGCCGACAGAAAGTGGACATTCATCTACGGTCTTTGATGAAGCGCCGTCTACATGGATGGCTGATGTTCCCTCCCATAATGTCTATAATCAGACGTTGGCGAAGTAGGCATCTGCCTCGCCGCGAATATGATCCGCAAGAGCCGAGATATCTTGTGCACCCTTCTGTCCATCTTCGAACATGTACCCGTCGATGAGAGTCGTAGGAACCCACTCGAAGTAGACGTTCTTCACGGTCGCCTGCAGACCGTGACCCTCGGGCGTTCCCTTCTGTGAATAGCTAAGCACCGTCGATGTGGCCTCCCGCAGGGAGTCTTCCCTCCTCCAGGACACGAAAACCTCCTCGATGTCATTCTCTTCACGCGAGGGTGGCTCATAGGGTAGAATCTTCTCGTTCTCTGCCAGTACCAACACCTTCGCATTGGGAGCGCAGTGCCTGGCCGAGAGCACTGCCGGTAGCGAGCCTGTCTTGTTACTCGTCGACCCATCTTTTGCAATCAAGTCCGCGCCGATGAAGACCAAATCGATGGCCTCGCTGGCAATTGCAGCGGCGGCGTCGGTATAAATGGATACCTCGACTTTCTTTTCCCTTTCAGCCCCCGATTCTTGTAGACGGCCAACTAGTCTCGAGGCCATCGAGACCCCTTCAAAGAGTGGGCGTGATTCAAGGATCCTGATGTCGAATTCGGAGCGGAAGCCCAAGATGGCTCTGTGAAGACACTCGAGTATTGTCGAACTAGACGAAAGAGTCAGGATGCGAATCGGCTTCCCGGAGTCGTGGTTCTCCTGGAGGAAGCCTTTCAGAGATTTCCAAATATCGTCGACGGATTCATCCCTCGATGCCGCGTACTGTTGCAACTTTCCAGTAACAGTGCTCAGGAATTCCGGAGACACCTCATCAGCCCTCTTCACTTCGTCTTCGATGACAGCCAGCGACCTCACGAGCACATTTAGGATTGCAGCACCCATGCTCTCCCGCCCGTTCTTCCACAGATGCCACGCCGCAAGCCTCGCGCTTTTCCACCATTGATCTAAAGACTCGTCACCCTCTTTGATCAAACTGATGAGGATCTGAAGCGCCTTGCCGGCCAGCTGTCTCGCTCCACTCTCATGGTCCCTCTGCAGGGCCAGCAACCCCTGGTTGAGCATCTCTCCCCTCTTGTTCCCAAGTTCGACCTCGAACCATACCCGACGCAGACTTTCTGCCAGCCGTGGCACGCCTCCAAACTCATCGACATCACGGACCTCATGGGGATCGAACCATTGGTACCCTGTGTGCTCCCAGTCGATCTGAATTCGAGATTCGTCATCCGGGGACTCGAGCCGGAAGGCGAACGGGTGGATGATCCACTCGCGTCCAATCTTCTCATCGGCGAAGCGGTAGTCCTTGCCCTGGCGCCAGAGCGTGAGATTTGCAGGCGTCAAGCCCGTCTCTTCCTTGATCTCACGCCATGCGGCATGCAGAGGCGACGGGTCTTCCTTATCCACACTGCCCGATACGGGAGCAAGACGACCTCTGTGGGAACTGCTCAGTATCTGATGACTCCATGGCATGGTAATAGAAACTTACTGGTACGTCCGCACCTTATCGCTCCGTCGGAACAAGGCGACCTGAAGACCGCCGTCTGGAGGAAACTTGAAGATGAAAGACGAGACGACGGTGCGGCGGGTCATGGGCTTTGGCTCTGAATCCATCTCTTCGGGTTGATTTCTCTACGATTCTTGCTTCCGTTTCGGTCGGTGTCTTTGATCGAAGGGCCCTAGCGTGTTTGATGCATGGTTGATGCTATTGCGCCGCGTGGCTTCCCGGCCGAGCTGGCTGACGTATGAGGTCATCATCAGAAGACACTCGGCCGGTCGGGAACTGATGCTGTATGGCCAGGCGGTGCCAGCTGAGTGCCAGTCTAGGCCCCCGCGTCACTCATCCAAGGTCTGGATGAACTCCCATGTGATAGCCACCCAAGCTTCAGGAATGAAGTTTTGTGATCTTTCTAGCTATGATTGCTGACATTGGAAAGTAGGTTGCTGCTTATCAATGGATTAGGCAGATAGATCAAGGGTTGAAAGCGGCCCACACATCGCTGTAGCCTCTCATCCAAATGAGGGGCATCGATGACAAAAGTTCCTGTAGCATACCGCAACATAGAACAAACTGCTCATTTGTCGACGCCTTGAAAGAACCTTAAATCAGAAGAAAAGAGCCCATAGAATCTCCGTGAGCCTCCTTTTCGACATGGCTCCGCCTGCAACAACGCTCACATTTTCCACCGCCTTAAGCCTCCAAGAGAAGCTTGTGTCTGGGTCACTTACGAGCCGGCAGCTGGTTGAGGCTTGTCTACAACAGATTGAAAGCCATAATGGAGTCTTGAATGCCTTGATAAGCGTCTGCCCTGACTACGTAGTTCTGAGTAGGGCCGATGAGCTTGACAAGGAGAGACGAGAGGGACATGTCCGGAGTAGACTGCATGGGATACCTGTCGTGGTCAAGGTGAGATGGCCGATAACGTCCTTATAGAGATTGAGACGACTGATGCATACATAGGATACCTTCATTACCCATAAGGACTTGGGTATGCCTACAACTGCTGGCGCCCATGCTTTCGCGTCGATGACAGCACTCAATAATGCCTCGGTGGTCGAGAAATTGCTTCACGCCGGTCTCATCATTATTGGGAAGGGCAACATGACAGTAAGCGAAGTTGAAAACAGGATAAGTCCCTTATACTGACAGCATGCAGGAGTTCTGTGGTCTCAAGTGCTTGATTTGCCCTCTCATGATACCATCAGCTGCTGACGGACGCAGATCTAATGACACGCCGGTGGGGTGGAGCGCCTTTGGTGGCCAGACGGAGTCACCATACCGCCGTGATGGTCTTTCCGAAAACGAACAACCAGTAAGTGAGGATCATAGGCACGAAATAAGCAAGAGCTAAGTTGCGAAAGATCGCTGGGGGTTCTTCATCCGGGTCGGCGGTATCCATTGCCTCCGGCTTCTGTCCGCTGGCCATCGGCACAGAGACATCCGGCTCGACTGTATACCCAGCAAGCCTTTCGGGACTGTACGCTATGAAGCCCACGCCAAGCTTGATACCGACGGATGGGGTCTTTAAGTTGAGCTCCAGCTTCGACAGTATCGGACTAATGGCCAGGGATCCGTGTGACCTGGTGACTCTCGCCGAGATACTGGTAGGTACCCAGACTGAGGGTTCCCTTGGCGACATCCCAAAATTCGAGGTCAGCGACAGCTGGGAGGGGCTTTCCGTGGGTATTGCCGACGTTCTCTGGGGCATTCATGAGACAGGGGTGAACAAATGGGGGCACTCCCATGTGGTAGGTTCTCTAATGTCATCCACCCATCCTGAGATTGACATCTACTTCAGCGAGCCTCTTGGAAGGACGCAGTGGACAGGATGCGTGGTGCCGGAGCCCGCGTCGTGTATCCTATCGAGCTACCAGCCTACGATACGGTCATCCACGACAAGCAGACACTCCACACCATCGCTTGTGAGTTGCTCTGAGGCCATCTCGATATCTTGCTCGCAGTCATGCTCACATCACAGACCATGAGTTCTCGTCTCAGGTGAAGAAGTTTGCCGGTAATTTCGATCCTGAGACCGGAGATATTAAAACTCTCGAGGATGTCGTTGCTTGGAACAAGGACCATGCGGATGAAGCCTTGCCTCCTCGTGAGTGTTGCCACCGCAAAGTTATTAGAGCCGCTGTGCTAACGAGATGGAAGCCTATATAACGCAGACAGAACTCGAGGCAGCCCTAGTCGCGGCAATGGCCATGACGGAAGCCGAGCACCAGGCAGCGGTCTCTGAGGTTCGACGGCTTTCAGGCATTGACGGACTGGGAAGGGCCATGCGGGAAGCACAAGTGGACGTCATTGTGTCCGCTTCGGACTCCATCGCCGTCGGCTTCGCGGGGGCCGCAGGATGGCCGATCGCGACCGTTCCTTTGGGGAACCTCGAGACTAACGGACAGCCTTTCGGACTCTTCGTGACCGCACCCGAGGGGAGGGAGGACTTGTTATTCAGGTTTATGGGTGCATTCTACGCAACGTTCCAGGCTATCGAGAAGCCTGCACAACTCTGAGATGAGTCGATTCGAAATAGGTTGGTATAGAACTGTTGAAGAGATTGCAGACGCCAAGGATGGGCAGACGTATGTCGCAATAATCAGTAAGCTCCCAACAATGAACAGATTCCCTACCCGAGGATCTCTGATCGATTTGCTTCTTGCTGACTCTTTGGGCGTCAAGCGGAGGCAAAGGCTACTGTTGTCCCATAGAAGCCAACTAGATGTTCCAATGTTGAACACGAGATCCGTACCCTGTTGTTTGCCAACTCAGGCTGTCCCAAGTTCACAATACGCCAGCGCTTGACTGTCTAACGATAGCAATATCCTCCAAGCTGGCGATGACTATGCAGCGACCTTGGCGGAGACAGCATGGCCCATCGACGTGGGCCAATGAGTCCAGGGTGGATGCTTCGACAGCTCAAGGGAATGTGCGCAAAGATGCTGATGCAGCAGCCCTCCAGGTTCCGATGATGGCGATTCCAGAGCATCGCGCTCATACGTCGACAGATGACGGAAGCTGACAGGCAGTCTGAGGGAAGTTGTCAATGGCACGCAAGGGTTCTAGACGTTGCATCTTCACCTGGTGCCGTTCTGATTGACTCTGAGGCAAAACTGATGATGGAAAATAGCGCTGACGTGTCATTTTCAACAGGGTTTCCGGCCGCACCGTCTAGATCAACAGCTTCACCAACGCTTTTTGGACCACACGAATGATCTTCATGTCGCACACTGAGCCAGCACTTGCTCATCCATCTGGTGAGCTGGTGTAGCTACTATTCAATTCGTGCAACCCGGAGAAGAGAACGCGAAACACTCTCGCAGCTGTGGGCATGGGAGGCTGCTCGGCCTTCCATTCTGCACTGTAAAAGACAAGCTTAAGAAGGTCCTCATTCGCGCATCGGCACAGGCTTCAGTTACGATCAGCTTGCCTTTAGGAGTTTGTCAGGAAAGCTCCTACAAGCATGGTATATAATCATCAAAAAGCCCTTTGCGATCAAGACAAGCGGGAAGGTCGAGTCCGATAACCTCGGTCTTGCCTGGAAGCCATGGTCCATTAATGCCCTTGCGTTGGAGCTTGGTGCTGAGCTGTCTTACAGCTCCCCGCTGAGAGGGTGCTTATCTTGATGACGGAACGGAATTCTGTTGGCTGTGAGTGGCTACTGGTGGTCCTTGGGAGCCATTTATTGACCGAGACTCAGTTGGAATAGCAGATCGGAGCACGCGAAAATGCCCAAGGAGCAGGGTAGCATCAGACGCAACTGTGGTCAGAGCGAGGTCAGCTTGGACGCTTGGCTCGCCGCCTGAGGAAGTGATCCGTCCCGCCTGCCACAGCCTGCAGCAGTCTGCAGCTGGTGTCTTCATGTTGGCGGCTGATGTGCCTCCATCATCGGGTGTGATACCCCTCTTAGTGGGTTTGATGTTCAGCAGGCAGCCTGGCGAACTGGTTCGAAATTTTCCGTGCGCAAGAGGAACGGGCCGGAGCATTTCCTGCGCGGACAGCAGCCACGATTTGTGTATCATGTATCATGTGCGTGCGTCCCTGTGTCTGTGTCTCTGAGACTGAGAGCTGAGAGATATGAGATGACCAGAGACCAGAGACTGGAGACTGGGAGACGATTATGCTGGCAGAGATTCTCGACATTTTTCCTTTGAGAAGCCTCCCAAAGCTGGCGATGGCTTCTCCAGTCACTCTTTCCTTTTTCCCCCTTCAATTTGTCACGGCTGCAGTTGAGAGTTTTGCCTATCTGGCGTGGTCAGGACATCCCTGAAAGTTTGCAGCGGCATCACGCACGCTAAGCGAGGAAACCAACTCGCGTGCCTCCCAACAGAGAGAGCCCGTGGAGTCGTGTGCGAAAGGCACGAAGAGTAGACGCCTGGGCAGGGAGAGGGATCTACAACGGCGCAAAGCACAGCGGACATGCAAGTGAACCATGCTGAAGGTCAGCAGGCACAACATCTTCTCCACCGACCCGAGGCGCAATCGGCCGAAGTTTCCAGGGCGTTGCTGCCGGTCAGACAGGATTGACAGGACGGCCTGAGTCTGGAGCGTCACTAGTGTGTCTCTTCCCGCGTAAGCGAGCGTTCGTGTCTGGCCTGTCTGGGTAGCGTAGCCGTAGCCGTAGCCGCTGAGGAGGGCGGCTGGGCGGCAGCAGCACGGAGGGGAGGGCAAGGGAGGGCATGAGAAGGCAACCAATTGCTGGCACCTGCGGCGAGCTATGGCCTTCGGGATTGTCAGACAGAAAGTCGGAAAGAAGTGGAAACATGAGGTGAAGATGCTGCCATTCGCAACGAGCCCTCCCACCATCCGTTGCACGTGGACGCAGTGGATGATGAATGGTGGCTGGGCGGACGAGAAGAGGAGGCAACTGACTGACTCTCTGACTCTGAATGGGCGGGAAGAGGGAGAATGAGGAGGAACATTACCCGCCGACAGAGGAGAGGAGAGAGGAGAGGAGAGGAGAGGAACAGGCGACGTAAGACGGTGAAGATGGGACGTTTGTGGCGGAGTTCTAGCGAGGTTCGGGGCTTCCATTTTCATGTTCCATTCCGTTTTCCTGGACGCTGGTTTGCTGACTCTGGGGAACCGTTCGGGTACGTTAGGCATTGCAGACGCACGCATACGGATGCAGATGCTACTCAGCAGCCGTACTTCTCACTGCATAGCAAGTAAGGTCTGTAAAGTACCGTACCTTACCTTGCCTTCAGAAGTTAAGGTGGCATGTGTCGTGTCCCAATCATGCCAGCTCCCGGGGGTTTGAATCAATCAACAATGGCCAGCGGCCCCCGAATCCGCCTTGGGGTATCCTTCCATGACCGGGGTGATTGATTGAGCGCGTCCCCTCCCTTTGGATGGATGTATCCGTACGGTCTGGTGGGTGTTTGGTGTATGGTGTTTGTTTGTGATTCACCGAGCGAGGCTTGCAGGCTCAGCATGCATGTTGCAGCGCAGCAGCAGCAGCAGCAGCAGGCTCTTCATTCACCAACTACCCATGGATGGGCGATATGCAGTAAGCACACCGCAGACCCGACATTGGACACGACGATCCGGGCCGCAGTCGAGAAAAAAAAAAAGGCATGCAGCAGTCTGCCTTGTGGTGGTTCTGTTGTGGCATAGCTCCGGCCCCCAAAGGAAACGTGAAGGCGAGGCACGGCAAGGCAAGGGAAGCTCGTGTTAGTGCAGCGTCGCTGGCCGTTAGCACATCACATACAAATCACATGAGGAGGCCTAACACGGAGTATCTTCCGACCCCCAATCCCCAATCCCACGTTGCCTCACCCCCCCTGAACCTAGGTAGGTGACCATTTCCAACGGCCCCCAGTGTTTCCTTTTTTTTTTTTTTTCTTTTTTTTCTGCTGCTACTGCTGCTGGCTGGCTGGCGGTGCTGACCGTGCCGCTGGCGCTCCCGTCGCGACAAGGAAACGGACACTCTCAAAATCTCAATTCTCCACGCCATGCCCACCACCAATCTTTCCCCCGGAACAGCTTTTTGTTGCAAGCGACCGAATCTGTCCGGCACCCTTCTGACGTCCCACACAGCCAGCCAGAACTCAGTGACTAGGGCAGGAGGTCAAACGACGACGGCGACAACAATAGCAGCAGCAACAGCAGCGACGACTACTACGGCAACGTTGGAACTGTAGTACAGGTGCCTGCTGTGCTACTGTGAAAGAGATACCTCGGCGATTCATACAGCCGTCTATCTCGGCGTCAAATCCTTCATCAGCGGATCCCAACAAGCGAGATAGAGCAGAGCAGAACAGAACAGCCGCCGAAGGAGCCAACACCAACGTCCACTGACGACGACGACGACGACGACGACGACGACAACGCCGACGCCGACATCCTCGACAACCAACGCAGCGACGTAGCTGGCTCGCACCGTTAAGCACCGACACCGACAACCACCAAAATCAGTGCCAGCACCACAACTTCTCCAGTCTATCTCACTCACTTCCTCTCATCCATCAGGGTCGCCTTCACTTCCGTGCACGAGGCCCGGCGACGGTGACATGCGGCCTCACTATCCCGCGTCACCAGGATGCAGCAGCACCAGCAGCAACAGCAGCAACAGACGGAAAACCCAAGCCGTGGATCCTCCCGTTTGCCTGTCAACCCGCGACGACATAAGGTAGCCCCGGAGCAGAGAAAACGCGTCGCCACAGCGTAAGTTCGTTCCATGCTCCCTCTCTCCTTGCTTTACAAGCTCTTGTCTCTTGTCTCTCGTCTCAGCCTTCTTGTCGTCCCCTGGCGCCTTGTCTCATCGGCGCATCTCATTGGTCTAGCGTCTCACACTCACACTCGACCTCTCTCTCACACTCTCACTCTCACGCTCATTCTCACCCAATATCCCCTTCACTGTCCACAATATTTGTTTACGAACTCTATCCGCAGATGCAACAGCTGCAATGTCCGCCGCATCAAATGCTCTGGCGAGAGGCCATGCCGCCAGTGCCGCGGCTCGTCCCGGGATTGCGTCTATCCAGCCCCTATCGAGAAAATCACTGTCTCGCGTAATGAGCTGGACGAACTGCGGCGGAAATGCGACGCCTTGGAACGGGTCCTGCAGACAAAGGTTCCCGACGCCGCCGAGAGACAGCACCTCATAGCGCAAGAAGGCGGCGACCCGACCGGCTCCCGCGCCGGTTCCAGCTCATCCTTCACTCCGCCGCAGTCGCACACACTGCAGCAGCAGCCGGCACAGCTCTACCGGGACGAGGCCGCAGCCAACGACGCCGAGGCCGAGACCACCGGCCGAATGTTGTCTGACCCGGACGGAAGATCCCGCTTTCTCGGCGAGACCTCCGGCGCCACCTTTCTCGACTATCTCAAGGAGTTCATGTCCACCGTATTCCCACTGGCCTTCAATAAGCCCTGGCTGTCGCCGTCCGCCAACAACGGCTCGACCTTCTTGGCATCCCTCGGTCGCTACCAGACATACGACTCCCGCCCGATATACGAAATGTCAAATGTTGATCCGCTTGTTCTGCCGCCCCGCTCCGACATGACGGTCATG